CTCCTCTTCAGGAGGCTGAGACAAGGATTGGTTGAGCCCGGGAGCTGGAGACCAGCTTTGGCAACATAGTAAGACCTCATCTCAAGGACAAAACCAGAAACTATTAGTATGGTAGCACGTTTTTTTGAGACAGGGTCTTACTTTATAGTCCATGCTGGCCTTGAACTCACTATGTAGCCCAGGCTGGCCTCAAACTCGAGGTGATCCTTGTGCCTCGGGCTGCCAAGTGCTTGGATTACAGGCGTGTGCCACCATACCTGATGGTAGCACTTTTATAAAATGAATAATAAGCAAAAATTTGTAGCTTGAACATATACCCCTTTAATATTTTTACAGACAGAAATATACAAAAACTATCTGGGGGCCAGGGGTGTGATTATAAATTAATTTCCTCTGTAGCTGGACATGGTGGTACACACCTGTAATCCAAGCACTGTTTAAGGGTGAGGCAGGAGGATCACAAGTTTGAATCCAGCCTGGGCAATCTAATAAGACTGTTTCTTAAAATTAAAAGAAAGAAGGTAGCTGGGCATGGTGGTGCGTACCTATAATCCCAGCACTAGGGAGGCTGAGGCAGGAGGATTGCTGCAAGTTCAAGGCCAGCCTGGGCTACATAATGAGTTCAGAGCCAGCCTGAACTACAAAGCAAGACCTTGTCTCAAAAATAAATAAATAAATAAATAAATAGGAAGGGGGAAAGGGTGGAGCTGGAGATGTAGCTCAGTGGAAGGGCCCTAGGTTCACAGTGTGACAAAATTGGAAACAAACTTGTTAGCCAGTTTAATGTTGCACCAGACTTTAATTCTAGAACCAATCTCAAAATGGTTTCTCAAGTAATAATATTACATCATATTTTTAAAAGTTTTCTAGCACCTCATAAACACTGATTTTTCAGATGTAACTCTTGCATGTGTAATTATGAAGCATTTTCATGGTGTTAAAGTTTAGTGTGCTTCCATAAGGAGAAAGGAAAGTTTAGGTTTTAGCAGAGCAGAAAAACACTAGCTTTAACAATGAAATCAGAAGGGCCAGAGATTCAGCACAGGGATTCCGCTGCCTGCCTCTGGAGCATAAGGATCAAGTTCAATCCCTGGTACCAAAAAAAGAAATCAGAAAGCCTTTCAGCTTCTCTGGTAATCAGGAATGATAACTAATGCAAATTGAAACATTAAAGTGCGATTTCTTGTCATCAAATCGGCAGAATCGTTAGCAGCTGATGATTCTCCGTGTCCAGCCTCAGTGAAGATGTGTGGCTGTGGAGGTGGAGGTTGATTCGTCACCCTGGAGGATAACCCTCGACATGTTTACGGATGAAAGGGCTCGCGCTCTGTGTGCAGCCCTTCGCAGTCTCTGGCTCTGCCCCAGCACAGGGCAGCACTGCCGTCTGCAGGAAGCAGTTGGAGACTACCGTCCACGGGGAGACGGTGAAAAAGTTGTTGAAAAATAGAAATGGTATTCACATATGATAAACTTCACCATTTGAAATTGTACAATTGGGTTTTTAACAAGCGGTTTGTAGTATATTCTCAGGGTTTTGCAGCTGTCACTTCTGGTTCCAAAACACTTTCATCATCCCCAAAATGAAACCCCACACCCAGAAACAGACCCCTCCCCATTTTCCTCTTCCTGTGTTCCCTGGAAACCTCTAACCTGCTTTCTGTCTCTGTGAATTTGTCTCTTTTGGACATTTCCTACAAAGGAAATCCGTGTGTGCTTTTGTACATGTAATGGTTTATTCGGCGGTGGTCTGAGTAATACCTGACGCGCCTGTTTTGAAGCGCAGTCAGTATATTCACAGAATTGGGCATCCGTCACCACAGTCGATTTCAGAACATTTCATCACCCCAAAAAGGAACCACCGTAGCCTTTAGCTGTCATCCACAAACCGCTCTTCCCAAGCCTGGGAAACCCTTTCTACCTGTAAATTTGCCTGTTGTGGCAAATTTCATATGAAGGAACTGGTAAAATATGTGATCTTTTTGTTTCTGGCTTCTCTGCTTCGCCTGTTTTCGAGATGCGTCCACACTGCAGCACCCATCAGTACTTCACCCCTTGTTGTTGCTGAATAATGTGCTATCTACCATGTGGACATGTTGTCTGTTCATTAGTTGGTGGCTATTTGGGATTTTCCCTTCTTTTGGCTGCTATGAATAATGCTGTTGTGAACATCTGTGCATAAGTTTATTGTTTTTTGTTCAAGTTTTTTTTCTTTTTTGGTACCAGTGCGCTGCTGAGCTACGTCCCTGCCCCACCCTACCTCCTTTTTGAGACACTTGAGGCGATCATCCTGCCTGAGCCTGTAAGTGCTGGGATACAGGCGTGCACCACTGCGCCCGGCTACATATAAGTTCTGTGTAAACCCATGTCTTCAGTTCTGGTTAGAATTTCTGGGTCATTTGGTAACGACATTTAACTTTTTGAGGAATTGCCCAACTACAGTATTTTAGATTCCTATCACCATATATGCAGGTACTAATTTCTCTTTATCCTTGCCAACTCTTGTGTGGGTCTGGGTTTTTTTCTCTATTTGTTTAGTTTTGTTCTGCAGTCCTGGGGCTTGAACCCAAGGCCTTTGCCCTTTGGTGGGGCTCAAACTTGCTGTCCTCCTATATCAGCCTCCCAAAGTGCTGGAGTACAAGCGTACACCACCATGCCCAGCTTCTTTTTTTTTAAAGAATATTATTATAACCATCCTAGCGGTGTGAAATATACCTTGTAGTTTTGATTTGTACTTCCCTAATGATTTGTGATATTGAGCATCTATTCCTGTGTCTTTTAGCAATCTTCACGTTTTCTCTGTAGAAATAGGTATTTATATTATGATATTTTCATGTAAATCTGTTAAAAGGAATCGGGCAGTGCTCAACATAATAATCCACGATTAGTCTTCTGGGATTTAACACTCAGCAAACTAACAAATAGAAGGTTGATGTACTGTGGTATAGAAAATTTCATATAAATAGATTCAAGCCATTCATGTACCTGCGCACACACATGCACACTAGTAGTGTGCAGGCAAGTGCCTGGATGTAAAAAGATAGGGAAGGGTGCTAAAATAGTCTCCAGACACAGCAAGACTGGGGTCGGGTAGGATGTGAGCAGAAAGGACTTTTTTCTTTTTTGGGGTACTGGGGATCAAACTGAGGATCAAACCACTGAGCTAAATCTCCAGCCCTGAAAGGACTTTTTCTTTCATAATTAATAGACCAATAAAAAATTTTAAAATTCCTTAAAGTAAAATATGCAGTTTGAAAAAATAAGAAAAAGGAGCTGTTGGGGAATTTTAAGAAAGGGCTTGGGATCAGTGCCGCTTGCCACCTGGTGGGTGAGTGTAAAAACGCCCCCTCATACCTTCATCTGACTCCCTCTAGAGCTTGGATCTGTTATGTTTGGTCCTTTTCTCTTTTTCTTTTTTTCCCCCAAACTTTCATTGTTAATTTACTAATCTATAATAACACAAATAGTGTAAAAATTATAAAGCTAAAATAAACTTATCTCCCCGCTCACCCCCCCACCATACACTTACATGCAGGTAGCATTGAAGTCCTTTCCCGATGAACCTCTGAGATTCCAGATTGTCTCCCCACCCGGAGAGGCCTGCTGCTTCCGGCCGAGCTCCCTGTGGAAGGGAAGCCTCCTCTCTGAACGCCGTGGCGGTGGCCTGGTCCGCTGGTCTCCTTGGTCACCCCACCCCACCCCACCCCAGAGTGACTTCATAGGCCAGGAGTTATGCCTGGTGTCTTTATTTTATAAAAAGCTCCTGTGTTGATTCTGATGGACCAGCAGGGATAAGAGTGATTTATCCAGCAAGTAACCAAGCAGTTGTAACTTACATCTGTGGGACTTTCTGGAGAATTATTTTTGGAGAGTGCTTTAGGAGAGAGTGATGGGCCTGTCAGCTTTATGGAAACAGGTTGCACTCGGATGGTCTGTTTTCTTCCAGGAATTTCACAGAACTTTTACTTTTGATTATTTTCAGCATTTAGGTTTTATCTCCCACTAAACATTCACCATAGAGCTGCCATCTGAATCTGAGAAATTGATCTTGGGATTGTTTTTTTTAATGATAAGAATAAACAGCATAGGACAGACTTGGCTTGTAATATTTTGCCTTTTTTTATTTTATTTTATTTATTTATTTATTTTTTTTGGTCTTTTGAGACAGGGTCTTACTATGTAGTTGAGACTGACCTGGAACTCACTATGTAGCCCAGGCTGGTCTCAAACTCACAGCGATCCTCCTGCCTCAGCCTCCTGAGTGCTGGGATTACAGGCGTGCACCACCATGCCCAGCTTTTGCCTCCTTTGTTGTTGTTTTGTTTTGTTTTTTGAGACAGGGTCTCACTATGCAGTTCAGACTGCTCTGGAACTCACTATGTAGCCCACTGCCTTTTTTTTTGAGACAGGATCTTACTATATATTCCAGTCTGGCCTTGAACTTGCTACGTAGTCCAGGCTGGCCTCAGCCTCCTGGCAGTCCTCTTGCTTCAGCCTCTTGCGTGCTGAGATTACAGGTGTGAGGCCACCACGTCTAGCTGCTTCTGCCATTTTACATTGAAAATAGACGTATGTATGAAAAGCAGTAGGGCGCTACATCTTCAGGCCAGGCAGAAGATTTTAGGTCTAGTTTTATTGTTGTTGTTGTTGTTTTTTGGTACCAGGGATCAAACTCAGGACCTTGTGCTTTCAAGGCAGGTGATAGCACCACTGAGCTAAGTCCCTGGCCCTCTTAGGTCTTGTTTTGTAAAGCTTTTTCCTCCCCCCGGAGCTCTGTAAATTTCTTCATTGTGTGTTTGCCTGAGATGCAAGTGACAAACTTGTATGACTTAAAAAACTTCACACTAATTTTTCCCATTCTTGTGTTTTTAAACAGAAACTTGCAGAATTCCATCAAAACCTTTTGGAGACACAATGGATAATATTGTTTCTCTAGAATAATAAGCAGGAGTAATCTTTCTTGTATCTTAAATTTATATTAAATCTTGTATTTTCTCTTCCAGGTATTCTCATGGGAGCTGTTATAAAAATTATAGAGTTTAAAAAACTGGCAAATTGGAAGGTAGGTTTGTCTGTTCATTTTATAACATAGTTCTTGGTGGTTGTTCATTTTAGTAACATTGATCATTACACTGGCTTTCTTATCATTGCATTACTCACATTCTCCTATTAATGTTTTTCCCCATTACTGGGGATTAAACCCATGGCCTTCACACTGAGCTACATTCCCAGCCCTATTTTATTTTTTATTTTGAGACCGGATCTCACTGTGTTACTAAATTGCACAGGCTGGGCTCAAACTCGTGATCCTCCTGTCTCAGCCTTCTAGAGTGCTGGGATTATTTAAGTGTGTATCTGGCCTGTCCCATTACATTCTGTTAAATGATTAGATTCAAGTCAATACCTTTACATGTGATTTTTAGAAAAAGCGTAAATCTCAAACTGTTTCAAGTGAATATGACACCACTCAGTCTCATATTTTGTTGTTGCCTGCATTTTTATAATCCTTACTAGTTAGCATTAAACATTAAACAGTGTTTACTGCTCCATTCCACTCTGCTGAGGATAATAAAATGTATTTGTCCAGCACTGTTGACCTCAGAGTACTCTCCATATACTTGAGCTCATATTGTCCTCATGACAGCCATTTGAGTTGGACTAACCGGGCTTATCGTCACCCTATTTTTGCGGAGAAGAAAGCTCCAGAGAGCTCGGGACACGTCCAGTGTCTCAGAGCTAGAAAGAAGATGGCTAAGTTGAGCCTTGTGTTCAGCACCTCCTCTGGGCATGGTCGGTATTTTCTGCACCACACCACACCGAGTCAGTTTGCCCTGGAGCCCCTCGTGTTTACGCAGTGGTTCTTGGCATGTGAGCATCACTTTGGGTCCGAGGGCTATTTAGACTTGAGTGGAGAGAGATGAATGAGTGTGTCACAAAACCCATTTTGTGGAGGAAAATGAGCTTCATTTCAAAATCACAATTGTGTGATTAAACCTTATCACATTGGAGCCCTTCCTACTTTGGTGGAGCTTCTGGGTGCTTAGGTTAATTTGCCTATGAAATTGTACTATAAAATTTGCAAAACAAGCCTATTGTCTGACCTAAAACACAACTTGAAACTTACGAGTAATCTTCAAGGAAGAAAAAGAACATTCAGGGAATATGTTATGTGTCAAATGAACTCTCAGAAGAGTATATTGAAGGCCTGCTATGTGTACACCGCTCTTCACTGCAGAGGGGCCGGGGAGTGCATTCTCTCTGTTGTACTGCACTTGGTTAAAGTTAACCATCCCAAGTGCAGACTGGTGCAACCACTGTGGAAATTAGAATGGAGATACCTCAAAGAACTAGGAGTAGAGGTTCCATTTGACCCAGCCATCCCTCTGCCGGGTATCTTCCCAAAAGAATCATATCACAGTGATATATGCTCACCCATGGTTATAGCAGCACAGTTTGTAATAGCTAAAACTTTGAAACAGCCCAGCTGCCCATCAACTGGAGACTGGATAAAGAAGATGTGGTTTTTCTATAAAGTGGAGTACAACTCAGCCATAAAGAATGAGAAACAGCTAGAGACATTTATAGCTAAATGGATGCACATTGAGACCATACTCAAGTGAAATAAATAGGACACACTTGAGTAATACCAAATAGCTTCTCTGGTGTGAAAAACTAAAAGTATAAATAAGGTTCAAATGGTGTAGTTGATAGTGTGAAATAGGAAGAAAAGGGCTAAAGGAGTAGGGGAAGTGGAAAGGGTAGGAAAAAGGAAAGAAGGGAAGAGAAAAAAATATGAGAAAAGGAAAAAATGGAAACAAAGGTTTTGTAAATAGGAAAGGATGAAGGGGTTGAAAGGAGGGCAGGGAATGGGGAAAAAATAAGAACCAAGATACATCATATAAAGGTACAAGATCCCAATGACGAATGTAACTGTATTGTTTACCTTAAATATACCAATAAACTATTGGGAAAGAAAATAAAGTTACCTGTCCAGAGAGTGGCTATGCTGGAGGACAGTCACAGACCAGAAGCCGTCTCTCCACTCCCAGACTGATGTGTATATCACGTACTCACCCATTTTAAAATTTTGATTTTGCCAGGCGTGGTGGTGCACACCTATAATCCCGGCACTTGGGAGGCTGAGGCAGGAGGGTTGCTGTGGGTTCTGAGACCAGCCTGGGCTACATAGTGAGTTCCAGGTCAGTCTCAGCTACATAGTGAGACCCTGTCTCAAAGAACAAACAAAAAAAAAATTTTTTTTTT